AGCTGTACACTACTGTACATACATGTAGAGGCGATTATAAAGGGTTAAAATCTTCTAACGGGGGGGGGGGGGGGGGTGACCGGCACACCGGCCCTGGATCTGCATTTGTGACATGTATACATCCCTAGGACCTTGCAACACCACAACACCAACAACATAAGAAATTTTGATCATTTTCTTCTTTTCCGTGTAACCACGGAAACAAAGTACACTGTACCAGTGGTTTAAAGTAATATCTTGCTGCTTTTGGAATTTGCTTTCTTGGGTACTATTTACATGTAAAGCTGGAAATTTCTCATAAATAGGCACTGTAAGACGGGTATATAAACAGTTCGATTTTGTTACACCCCATTGCACACTCGAAACTCGTGGCCGACATGTAGTACTCCTTGAGTGGTTTTAAATTTTTTGCGTTTATTCCTTGTTTTTATGTGCATTTTCTGTTTGTAAATGATGTATCGACCTGTATTTTTCATGATACTTTTGTCCTGTTTTGGAAAAAGTACGCTAACTTTGATAATTTCATCACGACCGAGTAGCACGGCTATGTAAGATGTACGTCTACACTTGTCGGATTTTTACAGCAAAATACACTGAAGTCATAAGCGATCTGCTCCTTATATATGGCTTATAGGGAGATCTTTGAAGAACAGGAAATATGGCGGACTATGCCTTTTTATGAGTAGTGTTCAGCTTTAATCAAGAAACTTGTTATTTGACTCACCCTAAATAGTACTTATCTGGAAGAACTTATTAATAAGTTATATTGGATACATGTATCACTTAAGAAATGAAAGAAAAAGTGAGCAAGCTCACATACCCCACGCTTCCCCAAAACTCAAAGTGCTGAAAATCCTAGAAAAATTTAAAGAATCGGAATTTCCCGGTAATATGCACATCTACAAATTGTGTCCTAAATATCTGCAAAGTTTGATGAAATTCTGTGCAGCGGTTTATGAGGAGTTGCGCTGACTAACTGTTCACAACTATATTCAAGATACCCCAAAAATCTAAGTTGTAAAGTGCCGAAATTCCCAGAAAAATAAAGAAATCGGAATTTCCTGGTAAAATGCACATCTATACATTGTGTCTTAATATCTACAAAGTCTGACGAAATTGTGTGCAGCAGTTTATGAGGGGTCGCGCTAACAAAATGTTCATCTGTATATTCAAGGTATGGCCAAAAATCTAATTTGAAAAGTGCCAAAATTCCCAGAAAAATAAAGGAATCGAAATTTCCTGGTAATATGCACATCTACATATTGTGTCCTAAATACCTGCAAAGTTTGACGAAATTCTTTGCAGCAGTTTATGAGAAGTTGCGCTGACAAACTGTTCATCTCTTTATTCAAGGTATGGCCAAATGCCTAAGTTAAAAAGTGCGGAAATTCCCGGGAAAAATAATGGAATCGGAATTTCCTGGTAATATGCACATCTACACATTGTGTCCTAAATACCTGCAAAGTTTGATGAAATTCTGTGCAGCGGTTTATGAGGAGTTGCGCTGACAAACTGTTCATCTCTTTATTCAAGGTATGGCCAAATGCCTAGGTTAAAAAGTGCGGAAGTTCCCGGGAAAAATAAAGGAATCGAAATTTCCTGGTAATATGCACATCTACACATTGTTTCCTAAATACCTGCAAAGTTTGACGAAATTCTGTGCAGCAGTTTATGAGGAGTTGCGCTGAAAAACTTTTCATCTCTATGTTCAAGGTATGGCCAAATGCCTAAGTTAAAAAGTGCGGAAATTCCCGGGAAAAATAATGGAATCGAAATTTCCTGGTAATATGCACATCTACACATTGTGTCCTAAATACCTGCAAAGTTTGACGAAATTCTGTGCAGCGGTTTATGAGGAGTTGCGCTGACAAACTGTTCATCTCTTTATTCAAGGTATGGCTAAATGCCTAAGTTAAAAAGTGCGGAAATTCCCGGGAAAAATAATGGAATCCAAAATTTCCTGATAATATGCACATCTACACATTGCGTCCTAAATACCTGCAAAGTTTGACGAAATTCAGTGCAGCGGTTGATGAGGAGTTGCGCTGACAAACTGATCATCTCTATATTCAAGGTATGGCAAAATGCCTAAGTTAAAAAGTGCGGAAGTTCCTGGGAAAAATAAAGGAATCGAAATTTCCTGGTAATATGCACATCTACACAATGTGTCCTAAATACCTGCAAAGTTTGACGAAATTCTGTGCAGCAGTTTATGAGGAGTTGCGCTGAAAAACTGTTCATCTCTATGTTCAAGGTATGGCCAAATGCCTAAGTTAAAAAGTGTGGAAATTCCCGGAAAAAATAATGGAATCGGAATTTCCTGGTAATATGCACATCTACACATTGTGTCCCAAATACCTGCAAAGTTTGACGAAATTCTGTGAAGCGGTTTATGAGGAGTTGCGCTGACAAAAAAAAAGGACTGACTGACTGACACTCTGACGGACGGGTCAAAAACATTGCGTGGAGTATAATAAGACATCATACCCCCTCCCTTTTAGGGGTAGGTTGGGACCACAAATACATTTAATCTTTCCAAGGCTTAACTGATTTTTGCTTTGATCCCAGCTATGGTGCTCAGGTGAGGGATGTGGTCCCTGGGCCTTTGGTTTCAAATTTTAATTGATGCATATTCTTTTCTGCTTAATTCCCTAGCACTGCTCTTTTTGGAAGAATAAAGTTTGAAAGTTTTGAAATGTGAAAATCTATATTAATTATGACAAAACAATGTCTTTATATTGATCATCAGAGTGAGTTATGTAGAAATGTGATTTTTTTTAAATATAGGATGAAATAAAAACATGCATATTTTACAGTTGAAAGCTTGTTGTGGTTTAGTCCCTGGAAAATGTTTCAAGGCTCTTTTTTCTAATATTTGTTGTACATGTATTTCAACCTTTACATGTAATTTTTATGGCCTGCAGGAACCTTGCCACTTGTTTGTTTAGGTACAAATGTTAACTAAAACACTCTAAACATGTTAAAATATGCCATATTTTTTCAAAATTTATGACATGTTGCCATGGTAACAATGACATATAGCAACCAATTTTTTGCATAACTTTCAATTACAATGTCAAAGACTTTAAAGGGAGTTTTAAGAAATTCAGAGACAGTACATACCACATGTACAGCTCCTCTATAAAATGTTCAGGTCATTATTGATAAAGGCGCTTAATAACTTTTCATGATAGCTACATGCTCATTGTTGTTGCCATGGGTTTACCTTACAAGCATTCTGAGATTATTGCATATAAGCAATGCATGTCCCCTACCGGGTTTCCCCTTTTTCTCTAGAATGTCATTTTATAGTATGCAAAAGTTATGACCAAGGTAAAAGTGTTTGATGTTAAAATTTTGAGGTTCTGCATGACTTTAATTTAAAAAAAAAATAAATAAAACACATAACGGAAATTCAACTCATTTTTTCAACATCTTCTTTTGGCTTCATGTTTACCATGCAATCGCAACTTCTCGGGCCTTTCCGAATGGTGGAAAAACGACCTCGAATGTACATGGTAGACGCCATGACAACCCTCCTTTTTCACGATCTTTGAATTAAATGCATGGAGACCTTTTATCTGTGGAATATGGAGTTTAACTTTATTCAATGTAATGATATTACCTAAGATATACTATAGAAGGGACTTCTAACTCTGTCTATCCTACATTTAAGCACGAACCCGATCTTAAACCATTATGAAAAAATTAAAACGCCATAAATCTGTCAAAAATCAATAAAGCGTAACGACATTCAAACTTAATCTGTAACTCACCAGGATACACTCACATGCCGAAATTCAGCTCAATATCTGCAACCGTTTAGAAATTAAGTTCGGAAACCCATTGTCAAGTAGGACAGACTTACACACAGACATGGGGACAGCTAGATCAAAGGATAGGCTCATAGGAAACCTGTAGCCCTCCAGTTTCATCGGTTGGGGACTTATAAGGGACTTATAAAATACAAAAAATGTACTGATGCTCTTAAATCACTGTGGTCTGTCAAACCCTGAATAATCCTTACAAACATATATGAGTGCGTGTCAAAAGTGGATTTGTTTTCTTTGTTGCTATGGGGAATTTTCTGTTGCTATGGTGATGAGTGTTTGCAAAATATTTCTGAATTCATAAAGAAGTCTCAGAAATATGTTTTTACTTTAAAAATTGATTTTGGTATCCACCGATAAGATTTAAGTCCATAAATAACTCGCATATTTGACAATTTGTCTCTTTCTCTTAATCAAAAGATCCATTTTTGTTGCTAGGCAACCGAATGTAAATATTAAAAAACACACGTTTTTGAATTTAAATTTTAAAAAGGATATTTCTCTGCCTTTATGTAAAATATACCATACTCTTGTATTGTGCCAGAAGTTTGAGATATATGGCCTTGAAAATTGCCCAAATTAACAAAAATGCTGAATCAGCAAAAATGCAAAACATGCATATCTTCCATTGCCCGTAAGGGAAATATCTTAAAATAAAAATTCTTTGTATTACATGGTTTTATCACTTGAAACGTTTATCTTTATGATAACATTATTTAAGAATCCCTCTGGTAATATTCACATTCAATTTCAAACCTCCAAGTTTAGTGATATATTTGTCCATCCACATTGAAAATTGAGCGGTTGCTAGGGAAAATTTCTTTGGCCATGTTTCCATAGTAACCAGGACCCAAAATAATTTTCATTGTACATACGTGATTCATAGTGTAAGAGAAACCTATTTGTGTAAAATCATCGAATTCTGAGAACCCTCATGATTCACTTTTATACACATATTGTCTGATTCTTACAGAGACCCGTACTTAATGGTCTAATAATTAGTGCGACTTCATGATAAATATGTGCTGTCAAGGTTATTGTATCGGCCATAGAACTTACAAAATGATGATTTTAATGATAATTTTAAAAGAGACTGCTGATATTCTTGTTTCAGTAACAGATATATAAGTTTTACTTAGTCCAAGTTCTTTATTGTCCAAATATACTTACATCATTTGGTGTTTGTGTAACCTGCTGACGTCATCTAGACTGTGGTAAGTGGGCGTGGTTAAAAGATGAGAATCTATCCAATGGATGTGGACTGTTACTTTCTGATCCTCAGCCGAGAGAAACTCGCACCGAGGATCTTGAAGCTGGAAAATTAAAAATTAATAACATAGTGCAAATAATAATAAGTAATACTGCCACTCAGAAATGAAACCATAAAAGTCTATATAGTCCCTTATCAGTTGTTTGAACAAAGAAATATTAGTCAGTGCTGTGGTTCCAGTGTAGCTAACTTGGGTCATTTAACATGCAGTTCCCGTTGTGTATTTTTTAAGCTCGCTTGGATATTTGGTGTCTGTTTATATGAATGGAAGTACCTATGTTGATTGATAATAAGTCGTCGATAAATCTTTATGTCGAATTAAAGGATATAGCAAGTACTAGTATTTTCGTTTTCTCACTCACAAGGTGTTGAATACATGCTTTAATAGGTCTGCTAATTGGTACCTATTGAAAATTCGACTGGTTGTTGGAAGACCAGCATGGTCTGCAAAAGCTACATAACACAGATATTGTCAATCAGAAACTCAAACATCTTTTTTATGTCAGTTTCAGAGTACTTGTGTGTACAATCAGAATGTTTTTTTTTTTAGCAAAATAACATTGCAAATGAAATGACAAGGTAAGTAAATTTACGAGTTATATCTTGATTTAAAAAGAAGGTGTAAATGATAACAAAAGCCTGGACGTGAACTTATTGTGGGGAATGGTTGTGTACAAGGTTGAAAAGTCGTAAGTTTTTAAGCTGTTGATTTTGGTAAAACATTGTGATTTCAAATTCTACAGAGATATTATCAATTGGAACTCAAGCATTTTTTAAATATTGTCTTCAGAGTACCTGTGCGTTCAAACAGAATTTTTTTTTTTTGCTTTGAATTGTTGCAATGACCAATGAAAGAGTATATAAATTTACAATTTCCATTTTTTATTGAAAAATTGCCATCAATGACTTTAAAAAGCCTGACTTTAATTTATCGTTTAAATCGATGTACGTTTTGATGCTATTGATATTGGTAAAATTTTGTGATTTCAAATTTTACAAAAAGTACACGTTTTTGATTATCAAAATCTGATTTACATCACTCCACAATGATAATGTACGATATTCATCACCGGTCCTTCGAATGAGACAGTATAAACAGAGATCCCGTGTCACAGTAGGTGATGGCACCAAGAAGACCCTTCACTGCTCAATGACCATAAGTGCCAAAATTTGCAGCTCTCCATGGCAAGTGGTGGCGTCTCCACATGAGTAAAAAGTTCTCAAGAAGGGCGTTAAAAACATATAAAGAATCAATCAATCATATAATATTTTAGTGAGGAGTAAAGAAAGCGGCTTGGTAAAACCTTTACTGAAATTCGCTATGTATCATTGTGAAATTAGGAATTGTAAAGAACTTTATGTTAAGGAATCAAGGATAGGTGTGACAATTCTATTCGATTGTTGGGTGTATTAGTAATATATAAAACTGACGTTTAATTTTGAAGAAGCTACACCTTTTAAAGTGAATTGTGGGTGTAAGTTGGATTACCAGTTCCAAAATTAAATCCCAGTTCCTCTGAAATATGTTTTAAATGATGAACCCTACAAAGACAATGTATTTTCTTGTTTTTTTCAACTGGAATAAGGACAAACTGATTATGTAATCTAACTTTGTTCACCTCTGAATTATTAAAGATTGAAGGATAGAAATGTATTCTTCAAAATTTTTAAAATGTTTAACAAAAAAAGTTAAGTTTACAAAATTCCTTCTTAGGTCTTCATCTTCAAACGTTGCCAAACGTTTTACATAATCTTTGACATAATTAAAGAAAAATAAATTTACCGCTAGTTGATAGAACTTGTTTAAGTAAGAGAATTTTAATATATAGGTATAAAGGTATTTATATGTTATAGTTATAAAGGCTTGATAGTTTTATTTATTACAGTTCTCGGAGACACATAGATATTACAGGTTAACAGTAATAAGTTAAATGCATAAAGTATAGTAAAGAAACTTTTTTCGTTCAAAAAATTCTGGTCCGATCAATTTCTGTAGTAAGACAACCCCCAAAACAAAAACCTAATTAGAGCAAGGGTAAAAGAATATAGAGAGGATAACATTGCCTGAAAGAGCGCATCTGATGCAAGTAAGAAGGACTTCTTGCAAAATAAAAATACGCACATTGTATTAAACGCGATGAGATTGAACATACGGATCATTTCCCGTAATGGAAAAGCAAATTGAATGTTGTAAGAACAAAAATTTTAAGACCCATGGGGCTTATTACTCATTATAGTAAATATGTAGAAATCGGATGCTTAATTCTAAGATAATAGGCGAGAGATGTTGTCTCAGATTGCCTCCTTACACCCAGGCCCGCCGGGAGAACTGTATAATAACGGACGTTGTCACTTGGCAAACAATTTGTTGGCTTTACATTGCACACAGAGAGCACGGAAGACACGACTTAAACTATCACAGCTTTTGGCTGGTATTTCTGACAATCTTTTTTGGGGGGGGGGGCAAATAATGCTTTTAAAAATGTAAGTATCCTTTCAAAACAATTAATTCTTTAAAAATGGGATTAAATGTTAAGAAAAAACAACATTTAGACAAATTTTAATTTTGCATGCTTTTCAATCAAATGCTTTATCATTGTTAGTCAATTTTTGAGACCAACATTTATTTATCTGCATTTTACGAGTCTGAAATTAACAGTTGCACAAGATTGAATATTTTTATGTTGTTTTAGTTCCATTCGAGGATATTTCACTCATAAAAGACGTCACCATCTACCGGCTTCAAAATCAAACAATTACTAGGCAATTAGGGCCATTGAGCAAAGAAGGACCTTTATTTTGTGCCAACACCTGTCGTAATACGGGGTCTCGGTTTTAAAGGTATCTTCCGAAGAACCCGCAACATTCACTTTAAATGCGAAGGAACAGTGACTCCTAATACCTATTTTTTATCGACTTAGGTCAGTCGCGACTGCGACTCGAACCCAGGACCTGCTCAAAATAACGAATTAATTTCTAGGAAGTCTTTAGATATATATCATCTCTAAGAAATATTAGAGAAAAAACAGTTACAGAAAAGTAGTAGCATTTCTTTCATGAATCATTGAAATTATTTTCCCAAGGAAATTTAAAAGCTAATACGGTTTCATGTATCTTTTTATAAACAATTAACGCCTGCTCATCCTGCAGACGTGCAATTCAGTTTCTTCCAAAAAGCCTATAGTCAATCCCCTTGAGCAACTCTTCACGAAAATTGCGCAGTGGTGTCACATCGATGTATTGAAGCATAGTCATTTTTGATGATGTCCTCAATCCATTAAAAGAGATACAAAAAAATAAAAAAATTGTTTAAAAATGAAGTTGATGCAACTTTATAACAAAAGTTATCCTATAACAAAAACCCTAAGGTCAACATATAAAATAGGAGATAGATATCCTTGCAATCAGGTTTTCGATTGAAAAGGTGCTTATTTTTCATTTGGAAAGAATAACTCCTTTATGGAAAAGTCCTTATAAATGTGTAATTTTGAGAAAACAGTGAATTTTGTACACGAAAGTTACAGAATTGATTGATTGTATATTGTTTAACGTCTCTCTCGAGAATTTTTCACTCATATGGAGACGCCATCACATGCCGATGTAGAGCTGCAAATTTTGTCCTATACTCGGCACTTTGGGCCATTGAGCAGGGAAGGATCTTTTTCGTGCCAGCACCTACTGCATCCGAAGGACCGGTCTCCACGTCCCCCAGTTGGATTCGAACCAGCGATGTAAGGATTATCTCCTTACTTCGTAACTCTAGAGCATACGCTCTAACCAATGCGCAACGTAGGAGACCGAAAGTAACAGGAAGAATATGAATGAAACATATGGAGATAACGAACAATTTTAAAGATCAATAGTCCATAAAACAAAACAAAACAGAAGCAGAGCAAATTCGAACCTCCAAAAGATCAGAGGTGGTCTCATGGAGGAGTGGGCATCCCCTACTGATCGTCACACCCGCTGTGTGCCCCTTGTCATGATCGGGAAATAACGGAAAAATCCGTCGTCAATTCAGTGTATGAATAATGGACTAACAATAAGTATGAAAAACGTCAGCATTCATATAATTATTTCTTTTAATCAAAAATAATTTTTACAGCTGTATAATCAAAGCTTTTTACGAACCTACCTCTCTAACCGGTATATTTGTGTGCATTTTGAATCCTTCATCTAAGTCTTCTTGTACATAATAGCGGCTGAACGGACCATTGCTAGCTTTGATTGTAGGACGGTCAACGTCAGTAGATAAAACCGCCAAGTCAAAGCTGACAAGCCGGGTACATTTTCGAGGAACATGTGATACGTCAGTGTAGTAAAGTTTGAAGGCCAGATATTTTCCAGAGATGTCAGATTCTAACATCCAAGCCTGTTTGTCTCTATCGTACATGTGGACACGGTTACGGTTCTTGTTTAATACTGGAAGTGCAGCTTCGCTGATGGAAACAACAGAAAACATGTTTACACGGACTCGGACCGTAGAGCGGCCCCTGGACAGCATATGTATAGTGGATCCGATAATGTAAGGTTCACCATTTCCACTTCCGTCTAGCCACTGTTCTATGTTACCTGACTCAAATGCCTGATTTTCACCTATTCTTATTTCATACTGAACACGACATAGATGGTCAAAGTTTGTGTGCCTGTGAAGTTGAACTGCTACATTACCCTCCGTCTCATGGGTGGGAGTGTTCGGATAGAGAGAGATGCTCCAGTCAAATAATCCAAAACTAAAATAAGGTGTCTCAAGTTTAATGTTACTTGCGTATCGTGCTTGGTAGTCTTTTGGAATTCTGACGAAACATTCCATTGCAGTAGTAACGTGTCTGAGTTCCAGCTCAACGAGGAAATCCCCAGTTTGCTGTATGAATGTTCGTCTCACCAGGTCCTCCAGTGATATGAAAGTTTGGCGCCCTCTGGTGTCGCATTCCTTAGTAAACTCGGACCCTTTTTCGATGAAGGATTCGTTTTTGGTGAAATGCTCGGTGTTAACCATGGTAAAAGCATAATCAACTTTGCATACCACGTGAAGAGAGGCTGTTTGGAGCTTCAGAAACGCACCCAAATGCCGCTCGCTCTTGACAAAACTTACAGTCCATTTTTGGTAGCCGTAGATAAAGTCTTTCGAAAAAGACGAGGGGGCATTCTCTTTAATAAGTTTTGCTGGAAGCTGAAAAGTGAAAACTTCTGTGTTGAATCGGTCGGGGAGTTTCACTATTCGGAATAACTTTGCCATTTTCTGTAAAATAAAATTTTAAATTTATATCATCTTGACCAACTTTAACAAAATGGTTGATTAAAATGAGAGAATAATCAAATGCCTCAATCCATGACAATCCAATTTAATGCCCTATGTACATTCAATTCTCATCGAACCACCCTCTCATTAACATGCAGTAGTGTTAGAAAAAATAAAGCCTTTAAAGTGTCCTCAATTGATCAGAACAACAATGAATTAGAACATTTATGTTGATCGGAACATCATATTATTTATCTGTATGCATCATCGGGATCAATGATGTCGATTTACGCTTGAATAAGAGTTAGGTGGGCCCAAGCTCGCGTTCAGCCTAATCAATAGGTGTTGTTTTAATCCTAAGGTCCCCTTGGAACCATTAATATCACGGAATGCATCATGGACGGTGGGTAATTTCTAGTCTTCACAGAGCTGTCCGTGTTGGGCATTATCATGTCTGGAATATCAATTTTAGTGTTTCCAAGAAGATATGTCTTACACAAAACAGACATCTCCAGATATTTGTTGTTCTTTATGGTCTCAAAAAGTGAGAGCGGTAAAACCTGTTTTTTATGGTCTTATTAACAGTAAGATCAGTAAACATTTTGTGTAGAATATTGTACGCAAACATGCGAGAATGTTAGAAAATAAAATGCTTCATAAACAGAATGTTGCAAAATTGCAATTTCTGAGGGTCGAAATGTATCATCTGTATTAATGCTTCCCTTCATATTCACGATCATTTGATTTGTATCATTTTGAAGTCTTATAACACTATCAGAATGAACAGAAAAGAATTTAATATCACTAATTTGATGTAAAAATAGAGTGATATTCTTTATGTTTAGAGTTCTTATATAACAACAATTTAGTTGTAGAAAGGGTCTAAAGAAGTCTAAAAGTTGGTAAAAATATTGACATTTATTCCAAATGTTCCCATTTTGCACGTGATACTGGCCGATTATCTAACAGACATGTTAAATAATAGATAGAGAATTGCAGTTCAAACAAGTTTGCTATTTTTGTAAGTAATATTTTCCATTGTTGGAATATTTTAATTCATAATAATAAATTCGGTATGTACTTGTAGGAAGATGTATGGAGTAACATGAGAGAGAGAGAGACAGAGAGAGAGAGAGAGAGAGAGAGAGTAATAAGAAGAAAAATTCAAAAAGAAGTTTCAGATACATACCGTTGTTACTTGCTGCAGATAACCAGAATCGTTCGTTCAGAACTTTATTCGATTTTCAGTTCAATTCACTTCAAAATTCAAGGTCTTCTTTCATTCCTGAATCCCACATCAGGCCTATCATGCAACATATAAAGGCTGACAGAAGAAATTGACATTCTAAAAGTAAGTCTTCTCACATGCAATAGAAATGCAATCTTCAGCAGAGGAGTTTGGGAACAATGGGAATGAGGTAAAAACTTTTTAAATGCTTTCGGGAATCTCTTGAGTATGATGCCACTGCACTCCGATCAATTCCTCCACTCACTGCTTTATATATAGGCTAATATCGATTAGAAAGTCGATATATCCCGTATATGCTACTGGTGGAATTTTTGAAGCTATCAACTGTTTAATTATTTACCAAACAACTTCAAGTCAACACACACGTAAGTTTAGAACTTTAAGATGAGGATATGTATGAAAATATTAAGGACATTTTATAACTAATATAGGAGTGTACAAAACTCGTGCATGCATGTATCTATGTCATCTAAAGTATAAAACTAAGTATAAATTGAGTGAGATATATCGAGATAACGAACAGTATTCAAACTTAAACGTCCCTTAAACACGGACCCCTAAAACACAAGGTGGGATCAGGTGCCATGGAGGTGTGAGCATCTTTCACCGACCGGTCATTTGACCAAGTGCTCCTTTTGAGTGAGCAATCCTTATCATGACAATTCGGTGCAATTAATGGTTTAGCGAATAGTATGAAAAACGTCATACAGCATTTGACTGAATGATAGTCTGTATTTGCTGTCATGTTCATTGTATCGGCCTTAGAAAATATTGAAAAACAGATGATTTTAAACGAGAGTGGTGATATTCTTTCTTCATCAACTTGTTTGTCAATAATTTACCTCATTTTAGATATTGTTCATACGTAAAACACTGGCTTGCGTATCAAATCCACTGAAAGATATAAACCCCGTTAGATCTAATAGGTGATGAAGATATATTGCTGCATACGAAAGAGGAGTTGGCGATTGCAAAGTTAAAATCATCAAGTTTATAATAAAACTTGGTTGTCAGCTTTCCATTATGCCTTTTTCAAGTTAATTTCAAGTACATTATCAAATAGGAAACATATGTGTCAGCTTCTGTGGTATTTTTTACAAGCTCACCGGGATATATCGTATCTACACGAAAATGGAAATTACCATTGTTAATTGACAAAACCTCATCGATATACTCATTATCTAAATTTCGAGGTGATTGACATAGACAGTGCTATTCCTTTTAACATTCAAGATTTTGAACAAATTCTGCTTCATATGAATACAAAAATAGCTTCTGTTTAAGATCAACTTCAGAGTACTTGAGAATACTTTTCAACAAAATATTTTTTGCAAATAATCAATGACAAAGTAAGTTAATTTAACAGTTCCATATTATTGAAAAAGAAGTTATCACTGATATCAAATCGCCTGGACTTTAATTTATCTTTTGGTAAAATTGTATAAAAAGATGAAATGTTTTAATTTTTTGTGTTATGCTTTTGAATTTTCCAAAGTTCCTTTTTAAGTGTCCACATCTCATTAAAATCACTCCCCAAATATGTCATTGCAGATTGTTTGAAGAGGTAAGACCTTGGTAAAACATTTACAAAAAGCACATAAAAATATGTGTAAAAGTTTGAGGTTGTATGCCTCTAGTTTTAAATTTGGAAAGAGTTGTGATGCTCGGAGGCTTTTATTTATACAAAAATTTCCCATAATAAATTAACGTTCAGAATATAACAACTCACAAAGCATGACTCATAATTGCAAAGGAAGTTAGTTGAAAGCAATTAACTTGACCTTTTTCACTTAATTTTAACTTTTACAAAAATTGACATGAAGCATAATCACATTTTACGAGCTGTAATCATCGCAATAAATACATAATCATTTTTTAAAAAGATAAAATAGTTTGAGTTATATTAATAATTGAAAACAATATATATCAAATTAATGCCAGTAAGTATTGTTTAACCGTTTTGCACTAAAATGTCATAGTTGGGGCGTAAAAAATCTATTAAGACAATATTTTTTTTTCTTGAATCAAGATTTTCATGATTTAAATGCTTTTCATTTAAATGTATTGTGTTATTTAAAATTTTGGAATAAAAATTTGGGACCAGTGCTGTAATTATAAATTTTGTCTGAAATGCTCAAAGTGTTTGGTCCTGAAAGTTTATCTAATTCACACTTATAACTGTTTTAAGATTTTACTTTACAAAAAGGATTTAAATAGTTTTCATTGTTATCTGATCATATCATAGAATTTTTAAGAATGTTAAGTGAAGTGTTTGGCTGACAAAGTTAAATAGGTTAAACGGGCAATATAAGATATCATGTAAAGGTTTGATATTTATACAATTAAAGGATATAATTCCGTAAATATGATTTTTAAAAAAGGAACGAATATTTAATAGATTACAGTGGACGGAGACTTGTGAGTCCACCATTTAAATCACTATCTACCATGCTATCATTTGATAATCTTATATGAGAAGCTACGTGTAATGGGAGTGAAGTCGTGATTTGTTGAGAAGCACGTGGCAAAAGTTGAATAAAATCATAGTTGTAGAACGATGAAACCCATTCAGAATACGACCAGGAAATGTATTTAACGCACGGAAAGTATTTAAACGTGTATATTGCATCGGGACTAATTCATATGCTTGATTAAACTATGATACATGATAATATGTTTACTTTGATTAAGTGATGTAATCTTAAGTAGTTGATATGTTTCGCAAGAGGGTATAAATAATCTATCGTAACTCAACCTCCTTTGAATTCATCACAACAACATATTAACTGAATCCAAAAAGGAGAAATATAAACAAATTAAAATAGGAATTATAATCATTGAAACATTATATACTGAACATGTATGTAAGACATGTATTCAAAACAACACATTTCCGAGTTACACTTAAAGTCAAATGTTTGTATAGAGGATCCGATCTTTTAAATAACCGATTCATCCTACACCACTTGCTGTTTAAATACGTGTAGATATTGTATTGCGCCTGTTTTACACTTCATTTCATTTGAAGGGTCAAATTTAAAGCTAATTCATGCCATATAGATCTCTTATATATCTTTACCTACTCTGTTCAATAGATATGACTAAAGTACAAGTCTAGACACACTAATGATCTCCCTTCTCTAATAATTATCTTTGTCGCTGAATAATGACCAAATCTGTAGTAGTAAAAATAGACTCTTTCTATTTTAACAAGAATAATATTCAATCAGAAATGATTTTATTATCAACAAATATTTTACTCTATATCTTCAGAATTTTTAATGCATATTAGGATATTGATAGAACAGTTGATAAAGCTAACGTAGATGTATCAGCCTTTAAATTAAAATGAATTTACCCTTTATGTTGTGGTCCGTTTGAGAATGGTTATCGTCACAGTCCTGAGACACCCCATTTCACACCTTGACCACTCCTTTTATACTTCTCGCAATCGGAGATTTGGGTGCATATAGATTTTGGCTCGGCCGTCTGTCTGTCTAGCTTTTTGCAAACGTTTAAACATTGCTCATAACTTTTGATTTCTTGCAGCTATGGCTTTCATGTTCCACAAGTGTATTTCTTTTGAAGGGATCTTTTACTTTGATACCAAATTCTTGACCCTTGAGATTGACCCACTTTTGTTATAATTTTACATGTACCAATCTTTAAACTTGGCCATAACTTTTAACAGTTGGTGTTAGTTAGGGCGTTCATACCTCACATGTGTAATCATTGTGATAAAACATTTTCATGGATATGAATACTTCTGACCTTAAACTTTGAGTTTCACTTTTCAAAAAATTGTAAATCTAAAGTTTAAACTTATCTGTAATTATAGATAAGTTTAAACTTTAAATTTAAACTTTTCATGTAACACATGTATAAGGGCTTTCTTATTTCACAGGTATATTCCTTGTGACAAGATCATTGTAAGGATACCAACAAATTAACCTATTAACCTCTGGCTTTTATATTCCACAGAAACATTAATTGCGATATGTCCTTCTGGGGTAAATGACTTCCAGATAATTATTTGAATTTTTAAATCCAAGATCAGGATCACAAAGAAGTGTGATACCCTCTCTCAAAGTTTGGCCTTCTATGTAAACATTGATATTATCTGTTTCTTGAAATATATTTACCTGTGACATTGCTTCAGTAAACAAACTTTACCGGAAGTATTCTGTGCGCTACATCTCTTACATATTGCACACATGTTTTTTATACCCCCCGCAAACGAAGTTTAGGGGGGTATAGGAATCACCTTGTCCGTCTGTCTGTCCGTCTGTCTAGCTGTCCGTCTGTCTATGCAATCATGTCCGGTCCATATCTTTTTTACGGAGGGACATTAGAATCTACTACTCCACACAAAGATTGCCCATGACCCAAGGGTGTCTCATGACCTTGACCCAAGGTCATTTGGGGAAGTTCAAGGTGACTGGAAGAAAAATTTCATAATTCGTGTCCGGTCCATATCTTTCTTATGGATAAACTTGGTAGGTTCTCATTTCACACAAAGATTGCCCATGACCCAAGGGTGTGTCTTGACCTTCATTTGGGGACTTCAAGGTCACTGGAGAAAAATTTCATAATTCGTCATTTGGATAAACTTGGAATTGCCCTTGACCCAAAGGTGTGTCATGACCTTTATTCAAGGTCATTTGGGGACTTAAGGTCACTGGAAGAAAAATTTCATAATTCATGTCTGGTCCATATCTTTCTTATGGATAAACTTGTTATTTTATAATTTCACACAAAGATTGCCCATGACCTAAGGGTGTGTCATGACCTTGACTCAAGGTCATTTGGGGAAGTTCAAGGTCACTGAATGAAAAATTTCATAATTCGTGTCCGGTAAATATCTTTCTTTTGGGTAAACTTTGTGATTCTCATTTCACACAAAGATTGCCCATGACCCAAGGGTTTGTCATGACCTTGATCCAAGGTCAATTATGGAAGTTCAAGGTCATTGGAAGAAAAATTTCATAATTCGTGTCCGGTCCATATCTTTTGTATGGATTAACTTGGTAGGTTCTCATTTCATTCAAAGATTGCCCATGACCCAAGGGTGTGTCATGACCTTTACCCAAGGTCATTTGGGGAACTTCAAGGTCACTGGAAAAAAATTCATAATTCATGTTTGATACATATCTTACTTCTGAAAAACCCAGCGGGGGGTATTTTGTCCCGTTTGGACAGTTCTAGTTTTTTCAACTTCTTTAGAGAACCTAAAAAAAAACCTTTTTCCTAATAGAAAATTTAGTCCTTGGGTCAAGATCATACGATGGCCTATATCAGCCTGTCTAAAATAAATTGCACGGCCTATAATTTTGTCTTTTGTAGATTTCTTGAAATTTGTACATGTTTAAAGACAAAATTATCGGCCGTGTTAACTTTAATATTTCTTTACATGTACAATTTAAAAAATGTACATGTAAAAAAGACAAAATTTTAGACCGTGTTAACTTTTTATTTTATTTTTTTGTACATGTACAATTTCAAGAAATGTACATGTACAAAAGGCAAAATTATAGGCCGTATAAACTTTTTATATATCTGTACATGTACAATTTTCAAGAAATGTACATGTACAAAAGACAAAATTATAGGCCGAATAATTTTATTTTAGACAGGCTAATATCGGCCATCGTTAGATCATAACACAGTCATAAGCAATTATTTCGAGTTAGCGACTTCCAACGTTTCACCAGAAGACATAAAATTTACATTTTTGTCTTTAAATTGAGTCAAGGACATGATACAAATAAGTTGAGATTACAGGAATAATAACAACCTCGTTTAAATAACTATTTCTTATATAACTTTGTCTTGTAATGACTTTGTTAAGAAATTATCCTATTATTGTGTCGTATTTTGGCTGAAAATGGTAATACAATTTATCATGGAGTCAAATGCTGACTGACGTTTTGCATAATAATTCGGCCATTATTTACACACTTTATTATTTACGGATTTTTTTTTGTTTATCCTGATCATGACAAGTATACACGGCGGGTGTGACCAATCGATAGGGGGTGTACACACCTACATGGCTTCTGATTCCACCTCTTATGTTATTTGGGGATCTGTTATGCTTTGCTCCCGGATTGACTTTGATCTTGAATATTGTTCATTGTCTCTTATTTGATTGTATTTTCTATGAAAAAGGCGAAGATTATGACAAGTGATCAAGTTAGAAAAACAAATCAGTAAGGAGGGCATAATACAGACCCCCGAAAATTCCAGAAGTTGGATCATTTTAATTATGTTATGTTTTCTGTTTGTTGAAATACTCTTAACATCTATGGATCGTCTTAACTACTGTTTAGCGTATCACCAAGCTTCATTCATTATATGTTGATCGGTCCTAATTTGTTCAAATCCACTCATAAATTAAAATTGCAAGAACACTCAAATGTTTTAAAATAGTCATATATATGTCTAAACCACTTGGTTCGGTTTTTGTAGAAAAACTAAAAAGTTTGCTGCACATTATTATAGTTTTTATTTAGAACATTTGGTAGATAATACTGATTTTGTAATAAATAAATAAATTAATGAACATATCTTCCTTGAGAGCAATCTGAAAATTAAGAAAAAGAAAAATTCACTAATTGAAAAAAAAGTGACATTAAAGATGTAATTTCAACCTTTCAATAAAATATATAATCGGTTACAAATTTTACAACTGTAGCCATCGCTCTAAAATCATCTTTACCAACCTATTTACGTCCGTAGTTTTTACATCCGTGAGGTCCACATCCACTTCCCCCATGACCACCTCCGATAATTCCCCCGGAACCTCCCGGAATAATGCCTCCAGAATGTCCACCAATTATACCGCCCTGACCACCACCAGACTGCCAGGAGGACTGCTGGCTCCACGAACTGCCACCACCAATGTGACCAGAAGGAATTCCGCCACCTCTGATGATTCCTCCGATTCCTCCTCCTCCGATGTGTCTTCCACCGTGTCCACCACCTATGATGCCACCAGCTGTAAAACAAGATATCGTTACATAACCCGCTATAAGATGATTCTAAAATGCCTTAAAGTCTGTAATCTTTGAAAATATCTTCGATTCCAAGCTAACATTTGTAAAATAAAGTGAAAGGTCTTGTAGAATGAATTTTATAAACCACTTTAATATCAATATAAAGATGAAAAACTGATTAAGAGTGAACACAGAAAGGTAATTTAAAAAATAAAACATAAGAAGATTGGAAATTATATTTAGAAAAATACCAAACAAAGAAGAAAAATATTTGACAAGTGAAAAATAATCCGAAGATTTTGATTTGTTATTTTTGAAATATAGTTTCAACGAGAGAGAGAGACTTACGTCTATATCCACTACAGTAGATTGTGGAGGCACAGACTCCCAGGAGAAGAAGAGCTCGGATCATGGCTGTTGATTCGTTGAAGTCAAAAACGACTGTGCTCTTAACACCATAGCTTGGGAATATTTATACTGTTTGTTGGAATGCAATATGTAAGGATTTAAACTTACTGGATCATTAGTACATTTTTACATTTGTATTCAAATTATGCACTAAAGAAAATATAATTATATGAGTGCATACGATTTCCTTTAATTTCTGATTTTAGAAAACGTAATTAATGAACTTTTATAGTACTCATTATATCAAATTTTAATTTTGAAATGTTTACAATTAACAGCAAATATTTACATAAGTACTATATCAATTAACGGCCTTAAAAAATGTATTTCTATAATCAAATTTATTTCCGAAGGAGGGGATCTTCTTTGGTTTCTGAATATATGAAATATTCAAAGCCTACTTGCTTTATCCCTTATATCCACAAATGTAAGGTATTCAGAAGATCAATTTTTTTCTTTCCTTCTCATAATGACAAATGGTTAACTGAATTTGAAATGTAGCATTGACTAATTTTTCGTTGAAAGAGCGGTATGTGAAACATTCAAAGACTTAAAATAATTTTTAAAAAACGCAATATTTTCGAAGCAAAATTTAATCTTGTTACCTTTAAAAGGGTGCAAACTAAGAACAGATTTGTAAACGATACAAGTTTTTTTGTACCACTTTATCTTATGAGAAATAAGAAAAATAAAATTTAATATTCAATGCATGTTAACCCCCTCCACCCCCTAGAAAAATAGATACAGAAAATGCGCGTGACTATTATTTATGTTAGTTAAATAATTATGTCACTTTCGTATATCTTCTGATAGACCTTATATGGTAGCATCATTTTGATGCAAAAAGCAAATATTAGATTATATGAAACAGAAATAAGCATAATGTAAATAGCAATTTTTTTCTTTAATTCGTGGTATCTGTGAAAGAAAAAAATAAACTTGATCCAATCTTGAGAATATTGAACGTCAGTTTTACGGGTGGGGGTTTTTCAGTATTGAAAAAAAAAACATTATAGGAATAACTGTACCCTGCAGACGCAGTAAAGCCCCCAAAGCTTCATCTTTCAACATCTTTTTTTAAACAAAGAAACATATTGAGATAATGCGGAGCATTAAAAAAAACTCTATGAAGAATGGAAAAATTGGGAACAGAGCAAATACAGACATTTTAAACATTATAGTTTGGATAAGGTGCCATATGGAGGAGTGAGCATCCCCTGCCGACCGGTCACACCCGCCGTGAACTCCTTGGCATGATCTGGAAATAGCGGAAAAGGTCCTTCGATAACTGACGGTGTATATAACGGCCTAACAATTAGTATGAAAAACGTCAGTCAGCATTTGAATAAATGATAAACTGTATTCGTTGACAAGGTTATTATTTCGACCATAGAACGTATGAAATGAAAACTTTAAACTACAATCTTTTTTATTAAATATAATGCAAAACCTAATAGTCTTTACTCTCTTTCGTTTGATTATGAACTCTATTTAGTCCACTAGAAATGACACAGGGAGCTCGGAAGCATAGTTTTTGTCACTCACGCCTTTATTTTTCGTTGACAGTGTCCGATGGTGATTTACACCGTGTCCGCTTAACAAGTACATAACGACAGGACAGCTTCTGACAGTTAGTGCACAAAACAGAGAGACAATTAAATTTTTAAAGACAAAATCAAACGCTTAATTAGTGTAAATATCTTTGCACCAATGAATGCATAACTATTCATTTAAACAATACGAAAAATTAATTAATGTATTTTTTGTAAAAACTGATACTCTCATTAACACCATTGAAAAACGCGATTACTTTCGTTTACTCATACGAGATTAAACGTATTTTTTTTTAATGGAAAAGATATTAAACACGTGATTATTCATTTCTAGAAGTCAAATTTTTTAACACAAAAGATGAACAGAGCCAACATAAACCTCTCAAAACAGGGGTAGGATCAGGTGCCAAGGTAAAATAAAAATTCCTTCTCAACCTGTTCACAACCTCTTTGTGCTCATTGTCTTGACCAGCAAAATGAAAGAATCCGCAGATATTTCAAATTCAAAAAATAGGCTTAACTATTTTCATGAAAGTCGATGACAACATTCGATTTAACGACAAATTGTAATTTAGTAATTATGTTCATTGTATGGTGTTAAAGAATTTGTGATAGGTTTCTCAACGAAATTATATATACCTATGTAATATAACCTGTCAAAATTACAAAATCCACGTACACAGAAGCTCTACAATAAAGGGAAAATGAAAAAGTAATAACATGAATTGAAAAATGTAAGGAACAATGATCAATATCATAGATTTTAGATTAATAGGAAACATGAAAAAGGACAAGATCCCTGGAAAATAAATGATAACTCGTGAATAATTATCATTTTGTATCGACACTCTAATTCTTATATTCTAGTTTATCTAATTTTTCGGTTTGTTACTATTTTAGCTTAATTTCCCATTTAAAATAGACATACAATATATTTATAATTTAACAAGATGTTATGATATCCTGTTGCCTTAAATTATAAAACACTTTAAGATAATTTGTATTCAATAATAATAATAGCAACTGAATACCTGCTAAACACCAAAAGTAAGGATTTTCAAAGGCACTGTAAAGGTATCATGCAGTCCAAGGATAATACCTAAAGTTGTCTAACTCTGGAGAAACTTTAAATTTACCGCAGAGATTATGAATTTCAAATCCTTGACTGAATACTCATTTCTTGTCTTTCTTTCAGCTAATATACCTGAGGTGAGATTTTAAAGACAAAGACTAATATAATATCAGAACACGGGACCTGAACCTTATTCCTTATTAAAATTTTTCCTGTTGTATACTGTAAACCTCTAAATGTTCGCGACACCTTATTTTTGCGAGAAAGACATTTACTTAATCTGTATTAACAAAGCAAAATGTCCACGAATCGTACTTAATATACGAGAGAATAATAATTTGCGTTTATAGAGTCTTACGACATTACACGAAAATGAAGTTCTCGCGAAAAAAGTGATTTACAGTACATTAACCAGCGTATTGATTTCAATAAATCCGAATAAATTTCCAAATTAATAGTTGTCCTTATTTCTTAAAATAAACATTGAAAATGAATCATTTTTTATCAATACTGGAAGAAAGCTCAGTAAACGCTTCATTTTTTTTTATGTAATCAGTGAGTCAGTAAACGTTTTCCATAATAAATAGAAAAGGTATCCTATGATATAATGCATATACAAAAATAAGAATAATTTAATCCCACCTTCATTTATTGTACAATTATATCATTATTTATTTTTTTATATAAGACTGGAGTAATGCGATCAATATTATACCAGTGGTGATTTCAATGAGTTGAAATTATTAAAATTAGAAATGTCGATGTGCAATTAAAGTATTGTACATGTAAGAATCTTAGATGCACAATCTGAGTAGAACCATTCTTTCACTCTAATTATAATTCTCTCTTGCTCCCACTTATGTTTTACAGTGCCTGGCGCTGTTTAACATGATGTGTTTCCAGAGGTGCGAATGTTTGCCCTGTTCATGATTCGATTTATTTTCTGTATTAATAAAATTGATAATTGTATGCTATTTCATCTTTAAGATTATATTGACGTTTGAATCTGAATCTTCATAATACTAAAATTTCAAAAATTACACACTCAGAGGATACTTAAAGAATTCAATTGAATCTGTGAGTTTTCAGACTGTTGATTGATTGATTAATTGAGAGAGAGAGAGAGAGAGAGAGAGAGAGAGAGAGAGAGGTGCCATGGAGGAGTGGGCATCCTCTGCCGACCAGTAACACCCGCTGAGTACACTTTCGGATTTGCAAATAACGAAAAAATCTGCCTACAATCCAGTGTGTAAATATTGACCTAACAATAAGTATATGTGACGCGCCAAGCAAAAACCTCCCTTAACGAAGAATTTTGACATTTTCAGTTTTTTATTGATTCTTGTAGAGTTTTTCTTTTTCTTTCGTTTGATGTATAACATGACATATATTTCTGTGTATAAATGTATAAAATACCGTACGACAAAGACGGAATATTTACTTTGACGTACAGTGTACGCGTGCGTAACTGCATGAATTTTCATAACGTTAAAATGACGTGAAGCTATATACATGTAATGATTTGATGATATATATTTTCAAACATTTGAAAAATATCAATAATTAAGATTTTTAATCGTAATGATAAAAATAAACATTGTAACTATATCTTTCTAAAATGAAAAGAGAGGGGGGCACCGAAATGATTGACAAGGGCAAAAAAAAACAAACCATTACTCATATCTTAAATCTTCCCTTCCTCTAAAAGCTATTTACTCATATCTAAAATCTTCCATTCCTCTAAAAGCTATTCCAATTTATGTTTTTTTTAATTGCGAGAAAATGGCAGACAACAGTAAAAGGAAATAAGCAAAATTTAGATGAAAATAATCCTATTGTAGTAGTACAAACTATATATGCTCATCTTCCTAAACCAGCTTGGGCTGCATGTCTTTAATCTTTAAACATTTTATTAATTTTTCCTGGCCCTCAATTTCTTATTTTATATTTATGCTTAAGGACATACGCAACGTACCTTACCTACTGATAATTTTTCAAGATATTCTAAATTTAAACTTATAATACCATTACATGTTCTTAGACAAAAAATCAACACGCGTTACCAGGGTTTTTGAAAAGATGTCAAATTTTTAAAAAATTTTGCATTAATCAAAGAAAAATGTACCAAAATTACAAAACATTAATTCCAGATTTTTTTTTCATCAAAAAATTGTTTTAAAAGAGGTGTACAAATCCATATAGACATTAAAAAAACGCACACAGGTCCTTCATATAGTGGAACTCTTCAACTCCAGGGAAGAACCCAATAAAATTCAAACTACGTTGTGTATGACCTTAAATTATTGAAAAGAAATATGTTTAGAATCATTTCGTAACTAAATGAGTTTGCATACTTTTCAGTAAATCAGAATGTAACACACACCCCTATCCAATAAAAAAAATATGTATATTTTTAAAAATATGGTTTGAAAAAGAAATTCTGTAATTTATATGCATTATGAGGAGGATCTTGAATTAATTCTGACCGATTATTGTATACTAACCGAATAACAAACCACAATATCAGAATATACATTAATCCCACAGGTAACACACTCCACAACTTCATTTACATTCATTCCTAGACAAGGGCTGTAAGATCTAGCCTAAACTTTACCGTTACCTTCCTGAGAAAGTGCATGCACACATTATGATTTATATTAATCATATCAAATATTATTTGCTTTTTAGTATTGTTTAAAACATGCATGTTAAAAATTGCAACAGAAAGTAAGAGAATGGGTTTCTTCATATTCTACCATTATCGTAAGGGGAGGGAGGGCTGTGCTATGGACATTCACGCTTAATAAATTACCTGAACTAATATCAGACAAGTTCTTTATTGACTTTGACAAGAACAAGGCACACATGTACAATCTTAAATTGTAACGATAAATCTTTTTTCTGTGCTATGGACATTCACGCTTAATAAATTACCTGAACTAATATCAGACAAGTTCTTTATTGACTTTGACAAGAACAAGGCACACATGTACAATCTTAAATTGTAACGATAAATCTTTTTTCTTAAAACATAAAGCGTTTTGATAATTTTTCACAAAATTCCCCATATACGTATGTACATGTATGTACATGTATATACTTATCACAAGACGAGATCACCCGTGAGTTTCCGACGATGGCATGTATGTACAATGCGACTTCTGCAGGTAAAAAAAATTATTGAAATTGTTTTAATTTGTTACATGTAATTGGTAGCAAACTTTCATAAATTGAAATGCATGAACAATTCAACAGAAGGAAACAAGATTATTATTTTCCAAGGTAGATGTGAAAAGATAAAATTTTGGTAGTAAAATCTTTGTCGGGGAAATAATTATTACAGGTTTTAATAAAGGCTTAATATTGAAGGTTAAAATAAAATCATTAAAATGAAAATTTATAATTCTTAAATGTTTAATGTAAATTGTTCTTCTGTTCTCAGTTCAAAGGGCTTAATCAGCACCGGTGACTGCGTTACATTATGTTGTTATCAGGAATCCAAAACGTTAAAGTCACCTCTTCGCCTTATTTTTTCTTCTTTGGTAGAAAAATCATGCTTAAAACATTGGCGTCGGAAGCAAATTGAAAGTGGGGACTAAGTGTAAAAAAAATTAAACCTTAAAAAAAAACAACCTGACAAGCAAAAAAAAAAGGGGGGAATGTCCTTTAAACAAACACGAAAATCCTATTTCGGGAGAGGTGTGTGTGGGGGGGGGGGGGGTGTTAGGTTCGAACTTCAGTACCAAAATTTTTTTTACAAATACCCCAGCCCCCCTCCCCCGGTTCCGACGCCTATGTAAAACAATAATAGGTTGGAATGTTTTAAAAGTGTTCAAACAATTTGTATTAATTTGTAACAATTTGTATTACTTATAACAATTTTAGCGATGTATCATGTAGCCTCAACAAACGGGTTATGAATACATAACAGTGAAGCAAAATAACGGAATGTTTAATTTTTTCCCCGGAAATGTCGATAAACATATATCAATCTGTTTCATTCTCAATCATACAATATCGTAGAAAGTGGGACAGTCATTGTACAATGTATGCGAGCATCCGTACTGTATATATTCACGACAAAATCTCCAAAGAGATTACAAGTCTCCAAAGAGATAGAGCAGACACGGGAGAACGGGGGCGAATTTTTCCTACTTTTTGGCGTACAACATGATAAAGTGTTAAACAAAAAAAAAATAAAATTGAAAAGCTCAAACGCTCTTTCTTCAAAATATTCATTTTAAATCAACAGCTAAAAACTAACTCCGGAAGAAGTGGCCAAGTCAAACATTCTGTGTCGTATCTATAGAGAATTACATTTTTAAACTAAACTTTACTTCATGTATTTATCAATATCCTTGGCAAGCTATCAAAGATTATGTACAGTTCTTATTACTTGCACAGAAAAGTGCAACAAAGACGATGTGTTTTTCTATAACTTACATCATCTACAGACGGAAATGAAAAAGATGTAATATTATATACTTCTTTAATTTAATTATGGTTATAACCTGGTATTTGATTGGATAGAGAAATTACTTTTTATTGCATAAAAAATAGGGTTACCTATGTAACAATCACTTGCATAAAAACACATTGATCCGCCTGACGTAACATTTCAATATTGTACAATTTTTGTACGATTTTTTTTAATATAAACCACAGCGTTATAAATTGGGTAGCTAAGAGAGGTAACTCAGGTCAATTTTCACTGCATCGCTATTTAAAAAAAAAGATACTTTACCTAGTTTAAAGCTCCTGTCTAATTTTCCTTGCATGTGCATCACGATAAAACAGCTGGAAATTAACAGCTTGAATTTAAAAATTTTTAAAAACTTGTTTGTTTGACATTTTAAGATGAACCGACCAAAATATTTTTTAAACCTCCAAATTTTTCATTCCGGAATTTTCTCATCCAATCAATAACTATTTTTTTTTTTATTTCAGAAACGCCTTCATTCAATATTGAACATATCCGACAAAAAAATACGACCTACCTACCGACGCAATTTTTTTTAAGTGAATAGAAAGACGGCAAACAAACTCCACTTTAAAAATGGCCTTACTGGAATTTTTTAACCATCACTGGAAATCTTTAAAAATATACTCTTAATAATTGTGAAAAGGATACGTCACACAGATACCTGACGGAGAAAAACGTCTTAAAGAATAAACTACATCAAACCACACCCAAGAATCTTTTTCAGCAAATAAATAAAACAACATCCCATTGTTCTGCAGGGGAGAATTTTTTTCTCGAGGAGGCGTTTTTACGTCGCATTTACCTTATTGACTTTAGACGCGTTTTTTGACGTTACGTCATAATAGAGATAAGGGAGGTGTTTGCTTGGCGCGTCACATATAAAAGTCAGTCAACATTTGACTTAATGATAAATTTTATTTGCTTACAAGGTCATTGTATCGACCATAGACTAATTAAATGGTGCCTTTAAAAGAGACTGCTGATATCCTTGTTTCATCAATTTGTTTTTCAATAACTTACATAGTTTTAAAAGTTCTTCATACGTAGAACATGCTCAAGAGATTGCGTATCAAATCAACTGAGAAATATAAACTCCGTATGCAGCTGGTGAAGGTATATTGCTGCGTAAGTAAGGAAAGTTGACGATTTTAAAAAATATAGTCATATCGTTTATCATAAAAGCTTTGTTGTTACACAACCATCAATGTCCTCTTGAGATAAAATATCTAAATATGAAACAGATGTGTCAGACTCTGTGGTATTTTTTATTTCAAATGTACCGGGATATATCGTATCGATATAAGAATGGACTTAACCATAGTTTACTGACAATGACAAAACACATAGTCAGTATCATGTATTTATTTGGAATATGGGTTGTATACACTTTAATAAACACAGACATTCTAAGGCTTGGAAGTTTTTCTTTTAATGTAATCTGCAAACAAACAATTGCAAAGAAAGAAAAGTCAGAAATGTAAGCAAAAACGGCAAAGAAATTCAAACAATCTTGTATTTATTTAAGCTCATGAAATCTATAATAACAAAATAACTACAAAATTAAGAATACTTCGTACTTATCTATGATATACCTATTTTCGTCCGCCGTAGTTTTTACATCCCTGAGGTCCACATCCACTCCCCCCGTGGCCACCCGGAATAATGCCTCCTCCAGAATGTCCACCAATTATACCGCCATGACCACCACCAGACTGCCAGGAGGACTGCTGGCTCCACGCACTGCCACCGCCGATGTGACCAGAAGGAATTCCCCCACCTCTGATGATTCCTCCGATTCCTCCACCTTTGATGTGTCCTCCACCGTGTCCACCACCTATGATACCACCAGCTGAAACACCAGGAATACTGATATATATATATATATATATATATATATATATATATATATATATATATATATATATATATATATATATATATATATATATATATATATATATATATATATATATATATATATATATATATATATTATATATATATAAACTGCACTTTACCGGTACGTACAAATAACATGGAAATAGCACGTGCTCCTTCTCTATAAGAGAGTCACGCGTCAGCGTGACGATTTCGCTAAAACGGCAATAAAATGCAAAAATAACCCATTTTTTGAATTCCTCGTCATTTTTTATGTTAATAAACTTCGTTTAATTAACGAAGTTATTAATTAAAACTAAAAGCACTTTCAAAACAAACCTTTGGCTTTCATTTTGTCGGCCACATTCCAAAGTCGTGACGTTGTTAAGCACGTGACTTATTTCAGTGCTGTGATTGGTCAGGGTAGGTGACGTGAAATAGAAAGTTTGACTTCCACTCTATTTGATTGTAAACAGTGATTCATCATGCACCTTATTTAAGATGATTTGTGTTGTGTTTTCTATGAATGGATATTTTTAATTGACTGACTGCAACATACTAGAATTTTTGGAAATTTTAGCGATAAATGTGATCCTTAGTTTATGGAAATGTTGAATAAGTGGAGGGGCAAAACTTGTAAACATGCAGTGAGGACGGTCTTGTTTCGAGAAACAGCAATCGGCAGTATAAGAAAAATGAAACGTAAGAGTCACATCTTAGATTTCTGGAAACAGAGCTGCAGTAAATCCTGGATTTACGAACTAAAATTTATCTATTTCAATTTGCAAAACACTGGATACTTTACAATCATTGAGACCACATGGAATGCAGTTATATAGGAAATCTCTACTAAAACAAGAATGCACTAGGATAGTAGCTATAATTTAAAATTGACGTTTATCTCCTTCATCACCCATAAAAACGTATTTACAACTCATCAAAAAAAAGACACAATGGTTCTACATGTATAGTGACACGTAGGTGTGGCCCCGAGTCTTAACGCAGATTTATCTAACGACTAAGGTAAGTTTGTTTTATTTATTTTTACGTATTGGGGGCTGCCGCCCCCACACCCCCGCTTAAAAAAGCGAAAACCCATTTAGATATCTTTTTTTCTCGCTTCGAGAGTTTCTTACACAACAAAATGGCGTCGCCCATCATAGTTGATACGTTGCTAAGTTTTTACGCCGCGCACTCTCACGCGCGGATCTAGAATCAAAATGGCGGCCGTACCGGTAAAGTGCATTCTATCCATATATATATATATATATATATATATATATATATATATATATATATATATATATATATATATATATATATATATATATAAAGCACTAAAAATGACCCACGACACGAACAATAGAAATTGTCAAATTTTCGGGACGCCCTGTCCCTTCCTCAGGACAAAGAAAAAAGTTAAAAAGTCATAAGAACAAAGGAAAAAGAGAAACAAAAACAACTAGCACTACTACTAAACTACTAAACACTAGATATTTACATACTTAATTACATGATGAATTGGAAATTTTTAAAAACACTAATAAAGAAAGCAATGCGTCCGGTCTATCGGGTATACTCGCCCGAGTATACCCGATAGACCGGACGCATTTCATAGCGGTCCGGATTTCTTTCTTTATTAGTGTTTTTAAAAATTTCCAATTCATCATGTAATTAAGTATGTAAATATCTAGTGTTTAGTAGTTTAGTAGTAGTGCTAGTTGTTTTTGTTTCTCTTTTTCCTTTGTTCTTATGACTTTTTAACTTTTTTCTTTGTCCTGAGGAAGGGACAGGGCGTCCCGAAAATTTGACAATTTCTATTGTTCGTGTCGTGGGTCATTTTTAGTGCTTTATATAAATTTCCATCCGTGACCTTGTATCTACTTGGTAGATCCGACGTTTAGGATATACAGTGTTGTTGGTTTTTTAGTGCTTTTTATATATATATATATATATATATATATGTATCCTTATGTACAGGAACTTACCTCTAGTTTTGGAAACTGAGTGCAACCGATGTCCGTTTTCACTGAGAGAGAGAGAGAGAGAGAGAGAGAGAGAGAGAGAGAGAGAGAGAGAGAGAGAGACTTACGTCTATATCCACTACAGTAGATTGTGGAGGCACAGACTCCCAGGAGAAGAAGAGCTCGGATCATGGCTGTTGGTTGGTTTTGGTTGTGTTTAGTTTAAAAGGAACTGTATTTTCAACATTCAGATACTCCTTATATTTATACTTTTCTGGGAAGCATTTTTTAAATTATTTTGTTTAATTTGGTGCACTTTTAGGGCAAGTTTTCAAATTTATGCACATTCAAATTTTTCAGTATCGTGCAAATATGGATAAGTTCCTTTCTTGATTTCTAAAAACATATTTTATAACATCGATAAAAATGAAGTTCAAAACAGTAGCTTTGCTTACTTTGCATTTTGGGTATTAAGAAAAAAAGATCGGCATTATTTGTAATAATGTTATATGTATTCCTTATTTCGATTTTCAAAAATTGTACATTAGTTGAAAAAATTTGAATGCACTTTTTACTTCAATCCATGCATTTGTATTTAGGCATAAGAAACTAGAAGTGAAACGCCAAGGAGACTATTACCTCAAGCATTTAGTTCTGATCTTTAAAAGAGACCTCAAAGAAAGTTCTTCCATGTTCATTGAAAAAATGAGGCCCTTCACGTTTTAAGATAATTCCTTTTGAACTTATATGTAGAGTGCAAACATTATTTAAGCCAAGTGTAACATTTAAAATCGGATGAACAAACATGGACCTCTTAAACATCAGAATGAAACATACTCAACATTATTTTCTAAGTAATTACCGAAGAATAATATACATTTTTTTTGCTTTTAACACCAAACCTATAGCTGATTAATATAAAATATTGTATGAGAAGAAAATGACAGATTTGAAAATTTATTTTATTTTTGCTATCTTAAAAAAATCTTACAGTATTCTATCCCCTAATCATCATTATTAAAAAGTTAACTTAGCTATTTTTTTCATGCATGCATAATTTCCATCTATTCTTTCTTTTTTTTGTTCGTTTTGTTTAAAATCATAAATACATGAATTCAGATAACTAAAAAAATTACTCATATATGCAGAGAGACAAATGCATATGTGACGTTTAATAAAAAAAACAAAAAAAAAACATGGGAGCAAACAGCAACAGAAAACATGTATTATCATCTTTTTAATTTAATTTTTGCAGGTATTTCATGCGATCAATTACTTCATATTATCCTCTTTAAAGCACAAGTAAAGCGGAGGCTTGGATGTCAATCACACTTCTGTGTCTTGTTTGAAAGCGTCCAGTGGTGTTTTTGTTATATTAATTCTGAGGAATTTATTTGACAGCTGAAGTACTGAAAGTGATAAGCATAAAATTTTCAGGAAATAAAATTTATCATTTATTCGAAGCTAACCGATGTTTTAAAATAATTGTTATACCATAATTTTACGCAATGAATTATTTACGGATTTCATCTTTTTCTTGATCATGACAAGGAGCATACATGGGGTATCAGTAATTGACTAAGGATGCTCCATCTCCATGGTATCTGACCAACCTCTGATTTTTTAAGGGTCCGAGTTTGCTCAGTGCCTGATTTGTACTTTTTTTTCAATATACTTTTGCGCTTGATTACTGTTCGTTGTTTCGATATTTCACGCTAGTGATAGTGGAATATTGCTGTATTCCTGAAGAACAGAGCATTGAAAAGTTGAAATCATGTCATTTGTAATATAGCACGCCAGTGACTTTAATAGTCGTTAAAACACCCAACCGTTAAACAGATGTGACAAACTCTGTAATGTCTTTTCCCGAATCCACTGTATTAATATCTATATTGCTGATTTAAAAAAAGTTATTGAAATGAATGTCAAAATATCATTATTATTTTTTTTTCTTCTGCTACATCAAAATATAAAACAGAACTAAAACAATACCTAATTAAGGCCTACTGAATATCCATTATTAGAAGACCGGATCTTTTAAGGCTATATCGCTAGAATCAATGAAGAATCCCATCATTTTTTTAATATTGATTTCGGAGAATTCCTTTGAAAATATCATTTTTCGAATAATTTCAACAAGTAACCCAATTTTCATTGTAATTATTTATACTTTTATTGACAGGTAAACTATAATACATATGTTTAATTAGCTGCTCTCTAAATACATTTTTGCAAATTCTTTTGCAAAAATAAATTTGTTATGATCGTGTCGAATATGTATCATTACCTTTTTTCAATTTCTAAACACACTTGTAGGACCGTAAAAATTAACAAATTATCTTAGTTTTGCATACCTGGCTTTTTTGGAATAGAAAAAGATAAGCATAATTTATTAACAATTCTATATACCTTTCAGCCTTTGTGTTCAGCGGGTTCTGTGCGATGTTGATTCCGGGAACGTGTTATGACAGGTGAAGAACTTAATGTCAATTAGCATCAAACTAATTAGGTAGAAATACAAATATTCCATTTGTAATAGTATTTCACTAGAGCGATATCTTCCCTTTTTTTCTGGAATTGACTAATGAGTGTGTCATTTAAACAATAAAATTCTTTTTCGAACGGGAAAAATGTCGCAGCTATTGAAATAGAAAATAACCATATGCAGGTGATAGCGGAATAATTCTACATATAAATGAAACATATTAAGATAACTAACAGTATTCAGGATCAAAAGTCCATAAAACAATACAAAATAGACAGAGAAAACACAGACCTCCAATACATCGGAGGTGGGATCAGGTGCCATGGAGGAGTGAGCATCCCCTGCTGACCGGTCACACCAGCAGGGTGCTCCTTGTCATGATCGGGAAATAATGGAAAAATCCGTCGTCAATTCAGTGTATAAATAATAGACTAACAATTAGTATGAAAACCGTCAGTAAGCATTTTACTCAATGATAAATTGTATTTGCTGACAAGGTCATTGTATAGACCAAAGAACTTACGAAATGATGACTTTAAACGAACCCGCTGTCATTCTTTTTTCATCACTTGTTTGTCAATAATTTACCTCATTTTAGAAATTGTTCATACGTAGAGCATGCTCTTGCCTATTGAATCAACTGAAATATATAAACTGCGTTTGCAGGTGATGAAGGTATAAGGGAAGTTGACGGTAGAAAAGTTAAAGTCATCACGTTTATCAGAGAGCTTGGTTGTTAGATTACCATTAATGTCCTTTATTTAGGTAAAATATCCAAATACGAAACAGATGTGTCAGATTCTGTGGTGACTTTTATCTCAAGCTCACTAGGATATATCGTATCGGCAAAAGAATGAAAATTATCATTGTAAATTGACAATACGTCGTCTATAAATCTAAATGTCGACTTGAAAGTGCAGCAAGTGTTTTCTTCTTTTGCACATAAGATTTTGCACAAAATCTGCCTCATATGAGTACAAAAATAGATCTGCTAATAACGGGGCGCAATTAGTATCCATGGGAAGACCTGGTCTCAAAAAGCCACATAGATATTGTCAATCAAAACTCAAGCATCTTTTTCATGTCAAATTCAACTTCAGAGTTCTTGTGTGTACAGTCAGAATGTTTTTTAACAAAATAATTTTGCAAATGGCCAATGACAACGTAAGTAAATTTACGAGTTCCATTTTTATTGAAAAAGCAATCGTCAATGATATCAAAAAGCCTGGACTTAAATTTATCGTTTGGAATGGTTGTGTATAAAGTTGAAAAGTCGCAAGTTTTTAAGCTGTTGATTTTGGTGAAATCTCGTGATTTCAAATTTTCCAAAAGTAACTTGGAATTTTTAAGTATCCACATCTGATTTACACTACTTCTTGAATATATTGTTGCACAGTACTCATGAAGTTTCTCCTTCACTAGTGTTGGTATCTTAGTGAGGAGTAAAGATAGAGGCTTGGTTGACCATTTACTAGAACTACTTAAGGAGTTGAAATTCATGTAAAATCCCCTTATCCTAAAAACGTCAGCCCGGATTTTAACAGTATTCAAGCTCTAAAGTTCATTTAACAATACAATGAGCATAGGAAACATGAACCTCAAAAAGATCAGCGGTGGGGTCAGGTGCCTTGGGTCACACCCGCCGTGTGCTCCTTGTCATGATCAGGAAATAACAGAAAAATCCGTCAACAATTCAGTGTATATATAATGGCTTAACATTTAGTATGTTGTCAGTCAGCATTTGACTCAATGATAAATTGTATTTGCTGACAAGTTCATTGTATCGACCATTGAACTTACGAAACGAAGAATTTCAACAATATTCTTGTTTCATCACCTTGTTTGTCAATAACTTACCTCGTTTTAAAAATTGTTCATACGTAGAGCATCCTCTTGCGTATCGAATCAACTGAGAGTGATAAACTGCGTAGGTAGGTGATGAATATATTCCTGCATATGTATGAGGAGTTGACGATTGAAAAGTTAGTCATATCGTTTGTTAAGAAGCTTGGTTGTTAGATTACCATAAACGTCTTTTTCAAGTAGAAAATATGAAACAGGTGTGTCAGGCTCTGTAGTATCTTTTATTTCAAGCTCCCCGGGATATATCGTATCGACCTAAGACTTAATATAGCCATTGTTAATTGACAATACTTCTTCGATATATCTAAATGTCGAATTGAAGGATACAGCGAGTGTTTTCTTCTTTTCACGTATAAAACTTAGACAAATTCTGCTTGAAATGAATACTAAAATAGATCTGCTAATAACGGGGTGCAATTGGTACCCACGAGAATTCTAATAGATTGTTTGAAGACATGGTCTCCATAAACCTCAAAGATACTAGTACATAAAAAAGAATAAGGGAAGTTGATGATTAAAAATTTAACGTCATCTTTTTATCATACAGACTAGCTGTTAGTTTGTCCTTATCATCTAGAGAAAAAAACATCTAAATATGAAACAGATGTGACAGACTCGGTTGCATATTTCAGGTTTACTTGAACACACCGAATCAACATATGAGTGAAAGTAACTATTGAAATTGAGAAAACGTCGTCGATCTGAATGTCAATTTGAAGGCTACCTCTCGTGTATTCCGCTCCTTCAGAAGTCATGACTAAATAAATTACAGGTCGGCCAGTAAAGGAGCACACTTAGTCCAAATTGGTATGTTTTACAGTTTGTTAATAGACCCAGTGTCTGAAAAATAGAA